GAGCAGTCAACTTCAACATGTTGCACTTTTCCACTAGAGGAGACATTGTGTGTTGTGCAGCATAGAGGGTGGCTACCATGAAATTTGCTCATTGCTGCTCAGGAGTTTCAGGGCTATTGCTGCATTAAACTATTGAACAGGGGTAGACTCTGTGCTGCCCTCCAGTTACTGTTCACTAAAATTCTGATCACCCCAACCATTGGCTATTATGCTGCCTGAGGTTGATCTAAGTTACAGACCAACATCTGGAGGCTACTACATGGACTAACACTACTATATTCATAATTAAAGATGACCACTAGAGGGTCTGGAGAACCAGCATAAATGTTCATTCAAGTTGGACAAGTAGTCTCTCTTGTGCGTCTAATATTTAATGACCTTTGCAGCTGAAGGGTGTGATGATCTGTGCCCTTTGTAGGCTATGCAGGTACACACATGAGAAAATCCTGCACAAGGCATCTTCCAAGGGGTGGGCTCACATCTTCCCTGATTGTATTTGAGCACCACAATGATTTCTGGTCAAGATTATTTATGATTTAAGGTTCAAGAGGAACCAGGGGTGTTTCCAGACTGTTGCTGTTTTTTGCTTTTGTTTTGCATACTGGCAAATTCAGGTTGCACAAGTATAATGAATTTGGAGCTCCTGTACAACGAACCCGCATCCCCCAAAGAACGGGCATTTTGCAATAAGGAAAGTGGTGGAGAAACGCACTGGAAAGTGTCGAAGGATGCTTGATTTGATGCAATATCATCTAACCTCCCTGCAAACAAACCATAATAAACTGGCCATTTGGAAACACTCTGCACCTGTGTTTTCTCCCTTTTGTGTGTGTTTTCATTTTCACTGTGTTTTCCCATGCTTGTGCCACCATGCTTTATGGCACAGCAGCCTCCTCCTTAAGGAGTGTATAGGATGTGAGGACAAGCTGCTGCTGCTGCGCCAGCCATGGAGACAGACTTTTCTCCTTGTGGGGAACCTCTGGCAGCGAACGAAAGAATCTACAAAGAGGTCCACCAAAACCCTTCTACTTTTCTTTGTGAGACCTGGCAGGTGTGATCTCTTTTCTGGCATTAATAGTCAAAATGGAAATGGATGGAAGGGATGCGAGGGTGGTGGGTTAAATAGCAGGGGGAACAGAAGTGTAGTCTAGTGATTATAGAACAGCCCACAAAGTCTGACTGGCTTTTGGGTCTTCTGGAAAGAGACGCTAAATGTTGCTAAACCTGTTCCCTTATGCCTTGGGTGTCTCCCTTCTTGGGCTGTGTGTGGAGTAATTCTGGAACATTAACCTGCCTTAGACGTCAGATAGATCCTGAATGGGGGCGGGCGGGTAAGAAATGGTAAGAAACAAGTTGCTTCCTTTCCCCATGTCTTTAAATATGGCAGTCTGGATTTTAAAAAGGGCTGGGATGACGAAGCTGTACTCTCCAGCTAACATCATCCCTGACCAGCCCACACTAACAGGGTCTGATGGGAGTTCTCCAACCACAGAAGGACCCTGGCTCTCTTTGCTTGGGTTGGGGGGTCCTTAGGATGCCTTTGGTGCTGAATTCTGCAAGACTCAACTAATGAAAGTGGGGGAGAAGGTTAGCAATTTGGGGGTCTGTGTACTTTATTGGATATTGAAGGTGGGATACAGTGGTGCCTCGCAAGACGAAATTAATTCGTTCCGCGAGTTTTGTCGTCTTGCGAAGCACAGTGTCGGGAAAGTTTTGGAAAAGCTTCAAAAATCACCAAAGTCTTTAAAAACCTCAAAAAAGGCTACCACACCGCGTGCTATGAGTTGCTCCTCGAAGTCAAGTCGCAACTGTATTAACGGTGTTAAGAAAAAGGAAACAAACTTGCAAGACGTTTCCATCTTGCGAAGCAAGCCCATAGGGAAAATCGTCTTGCGAAGCAGCTCAAAAAACAAAAAACCCTTTCGTCTTGCGAGTTTTTTGTCTTGCGAGGCATTCGTCTTGCGAGGTACCACTGTATGTTGGAATCACAGTGCAGCCTCCCTATAATAAATGGAGAGTTGATTTCCCTACCCAAACAGGGCCAGTCCAAGACATTTTGCCACCTGAGGCAAAGTCTCTCTCTCTCTTTTTTAAGGGAGGGGAAGGGGAAAGAGATCTGGGACTTGGTGCAAAGAGCTGGGGCTCCGCCTTTGGGGACCACCCCCAATAGCACTCTGCTTCCATTGGCACTGATAGAAAGCTCTTTTCAAGAGTTTGGGTTTGGGTTTTGGTCACAATACATGGGATGGGAGGGTTAACTCTTTTCTCCCCAGTTGTGAGTTAATATTTACTTATTGTTATATGTATTAGTCTTTTTTCTTACAAAATAATTTGAAGTGAATTACATCTTGAGCTAGGCAGAATTTACTCTCAGATGGCAGTTACTTTTGAAAGTGTGGCTGGGAGCAGGGAAGAGACTGCTGAAAGATCCAGGTCTTAATCCCTTTGGTCGTCCCCCCCCACTCTGAGAATACTTGGGCCTGCGGATGTGGCAAGATGACCACGCATGTAGCATATGCCTTCCCATGGAACTAGGGCTTTGATGGGTTACACCTATACGTGTAGTGTTCTGTCTTCAGTTTAGTAGGAGATTTACACAGCTAAGCATCTCTGAGATGCTTAAGTATTTTGCCACCATCCCTGAAGGTGTACCACAGGGCAGTCCAACATTTCATACCAAGTGGGGCCACAAGAGTAAAGGTAAAGGGACCCCTGACCGTCAGGTCCAGTCGCGGACGACTCTGGGGTTGCAGCTCTCATCTCGCTTTATTGGCCGAGGGAGCTGAGGTACAGATTCTGGGTCATGTGGCCAGCATGACTAAGCCGCTTCTGGCGAACCAGAGCAGCGCATGGAAATGCCGTTTACCTTACCACTGGAGTGGTACCTATTTATCTACTTGCACTGGCATGCTTTCGAACTGCTAGGTTGGCAGGAGCAGGGACCGAGCAACGGGAGCTCACCCCGTCGCGGGGATTCAAACCACCGACCTTCTGATCGGCAAGCCCTAGGCTCTGTCGTTTAGACCACAGCGCAACCCACGTCCCACTTTGACACAAAACCCACAGGCCACACACTGCCATCATCATCGTCAACATCATCATTTGTTTAAGAAGGCATGAAATTGATGGTGTGTTAGCCAAGGTATTTAGGTATGCCCTAGTTTGACCTGTATTTCCTGTGTTGGCAATGGATTTGTTGTTTTTGTAGAAGTGTTTTAGACAGTGTAGACCTTTGGCTTGCCAGGTTTTTATCTGGAGGTTTTGCGCTGCGTGTTGGAACAGTGGGTGATAGGCCAGGGGAGGTTAGTAGGGGTGGGCCTGGGGATAGTTTTCCTACTTTTCCCTACTGACACACACTTTGACCCCCCATCTTGCAGCCCTTGCACTGCCTTCCCAAAGCCAGCTGAGGCAGTCTGGCAGGGTCCTGGAGCCCTCCCACCTCTTTCCTGAGAAAGTGTTAACTAGACTTTAGGAGGGAGTCATAGAATCACAGAATTGGAAGGGACCACAAGGGTCATCTAGTCCAGCCCCCTTCAATGCAGGAATATTTGGCCCAATGTGAGGATCGAACTCATGAGCCTGGTATGAAGAGTCCCGGGCTCTATCAACAGAGCTATCCCAGGAGGTCCTTGTCAGTTGTCAGACCCTCATGCCTCTTCCCAAAGCCTTGCTTACCCAGCTTTGGGAAGGCACAACGAGAGCTAGGGAGGGGGACAATGTTGGACAACCCCTGTCTACCAGGACAGGACAGGTGCTACACTGTAGAGTATTGAGGTGGCTAAAATGCCAGAGCCCTGCTCTCACCCAGGAAGAAGCAGTAGGGCACTACCACCTAGACTTGGCAGATTTATCCGTATAATTTGTTTTGAACGATTTTCAGCACTAAATTTTTTAATTGCTGTAACGTGTAACCTGTCCTGCAGGTTGAACTAATTTTTTTTGGGGGGAGGGGGAGCAGCTAAGTCCCACAAGACATGGTAAAGGTAAAGGTACCCCTGCCCGTACGGGCCAGTCTTGCCAGACTCTAGGGTTGTGCGCCAATCTCACTCAAGAGGCCAGGGGCCAGCGCTGTCCGGAGACACTTCCGGGTCACGTGGCCAGCGTGACATCGCTGCTCTGGCGAGCCAGAGCCGCACACGGAAACGCCGTTTACCTTCCCGCTTGTAAGCGGTCCCTATTTATCTACTTGCACCCGGGGGTGCTTTCGAACTGCTAGGTTGGCAGGCGCTGGGACCGAACGACGGGAGCGCACCCCGCCGCAGGGATTCGAACCGCCGACCTTTCGATCGGCAAGCCCTAGGCGCTGAGGCTTTTACCCACAGCGCCACCTGCGTCCCACAAGACATGGTACAGGCCCACTATTTGAATGGCAATTCCCATCAACTTTGGTGGGGCCTGACCCCCTTAAATATTTTATTGGGGAGGCTAAAGGGACCTCAGCTTCTAGGAGTTCACTCCTGCCCTGCCCTGGGACCTTTTGATAAACTGGGTAGGTAAGAAATCACCATCATACCCTGACTGAATCCACAGGTCTCCCACCCACCTGTAACCAAATGGAGAAAGTGGAAGCACTTTAAAGAAAAAAAACCCTGTCCTAGTCTCGGCTAGGTCAGGCCACTACATCCATATATATGTGTGGAGAGAGAGAGATTAGAACCAAAGTTTCTTTGCGGGAGTGCGGCAGGGCTGTAGATTCAAGCCCCGGCATCCTCAGATGCAGCTGAGGAAACCGCTCCCACTCCGTGAAACTCTGGACCAGTGTCTCCCAAACTTTGGGAATTTGGGACTACAATTCCCATCACCCCTGACCACTGGTCTTGCTAGCTAGGGATGATGGGAGTTGTAGTCCCAAAAATCAGACGGCGACCCAAGTTTGGGGTAACCAATGGTCTGTCTCGGTCTCCCGACAACTTTCCTACGCTCTCCTCTCACACGCGCATTTGCCAGAAGCAGCGCCAACTCAACTTCCCTCTCCCTCTCTCTGGTAACTTTCCAAGCCTCGCCGGGCCGCAAGCGCGAAGAGCACAAACCAGGCCTTGAGGGGGAGAGACGGAGAGCCTCTTCTGCCGAAGAAGGGCGCTTTCTGGCGCGCCGCTCGCTCCCCTCAGGAAAGGCACAGCCTCTCCCTTTCGCTGAGGCGAAGACGAGCGCGCCCAGAGCTCTCCCTTCCCCGACCTCTCCAAGCCGGGGCGGGCAGCCCGCGGAGACCGGCCCCCGAGGCGGGGTCGCCCCGTCCCATGCCGGCCTCGCTCCTCCTCCTTGGGGGGCGGGAAGTTACGCTTTGGCCGCCGCCGCCGCTGGGCTGGAGCCCCGCCGACTTTGGCGCCGTCGTCGTCGTCCCGCGCTCCAGTCAATCCGCTGCGCCAGGGGCCGAGGGCCTTGGTAGGGGCCGGCGCCAGGCGCGCTGCAGCCGACTCCCTCCTGGCGCCCACCGGACGCTGGCTGGGCGGGCGGGCCAGCTCCCCCTGTCGGGCGCGCCTCCGCCCCAAAATGCCCGCCTGGGCGATCCTGCCTATCGCCTTGCCCGCCTTCAGCATCACCGGCATGTGGATCGTGTGAGTAACACAGGACGGGGCGGGAAGGGACCCTCACGAGGGGTCGAGCGCGCCACGCTTCCAGCCAGCGGCGTTTCTGCCCCGCTTGCTTGCCCCGAGCGGCTCTAGGGGCGCCGCCGGAGGGAGGCGAAGGTGGCGGGCTGCGCTGCGCTCCGGAGCCGTGGCTGCCTCACGCGCCTCAGCCTGCCCGCGCCCTGGCCTGGCCTCTCTGCCCGGCCCTGCGCCCGCGAGCCTGCCCTCCGGACTGAGCCGGGGATGGTCCTCGCATGGCCCCAGCCTCGGAGCTGCTCGTAAAAGCGCCTCCGCTTCTCCTCCATCCGTGCAAGGCGGGGTGGAAGTGAGCCAGTGCCAGTGGAAAGTTTCAGGGCTGAGACCTGTTAGGGTGGAGGGCAGCATCTGCGTGGAAGGATGCTTTGCGTGTCGTGTGTTTGTGTCTCGTCCACCCGGAAATGCGCCCAGCCTGCCACGTGTTTCCAGAGTGCTGCTTATACAGTAGTGGGATGCGCGCTCCCCATGCGCCCGCGCGGTGTCTTCCGACGACCTTCTTATCAAGCATTCCTCCGGATTTGTTTTCGCGCAGTTTTGCGCACGCGTTGGATGACACCCCGGGTGTATTGAGCATTGATTCTGATTTGTTTAGCCAGAGATGTTCGGACATTGCATCAAGCAGTGAAGGAGATTCCGACAAAACATCAGGAAGAACTCTCTGGTAGTAAGAGCTGTTGGACAGTGGAACGGTCTCCCTCTGGAGGTTGTGGTCTCTCCTTCCTTAGAAGTTTTTAAGCAGAGGTTTTTAAGTGCATTTCTCCTCTGTCTCTTTCGTTTAGAAAGTTTCCATGTTTGACCGGGAGTCAATCAGCTACTGGTAAATTCCATTTACTTCATCATGCAATTGGGTTAGAATTGTGGAGTTGGAAGGGACCGCGAGGGTCATCTAGTCCAACCCCCTGCGAGCCAGGAATCTCAGCATGACAGGTGGTCATCCAAAGGCAAGGTAACTGCTTTTTACAGAAGTGAAAGCCTTGCCAAAATGAAGGGACTGGTAGAACAAGGGCAAACCAATTATATGGCAAATCAGAAGGAACGACAAAAGGGCACCCCTAAAGGTGCTTAGGCTAAATAATGGAGACTTAAAAAATGCACCAGACATGTAGTGCAGCTGTTAAGATGAAAAAAGGTGTAAAGGGAGGGGTATGGGGAAATCACAGAACAGCTAAATAAATCCTTTGCCCCTGCCTACAGGGGTTTAGAGACCCACAAGTGAACCATATATATATATATTAGCACTGCACCTAAGACATGCAAAGGATGGGGCTATAGACATTTTAGAAACTGACAGCTTAAAACCCAGCTTCCCATTGTCAGCTGGCATTTACCCAAGGAGCTCCAGGGGTAAAGGTAAAGGGACCCCTGACCATTAGGTCCAGTCGTGACCGACTCTGGGGTTGCGGCGCTCATCTCGCTTTATTGGCCAAGGGAGCCGGCGTACAGTTTCCAGGTCATGTGGCCAGCATGACTAAGCTGCTTCTGGCGAACCAGAGCAGCGCATGGAAACGCCGTTTACCTTCCCGCTGGAGCGGTACATATTTATCTACTTGCACTTTGAGGTGCTTTTGAACTGCAGGAGCAGGGACCAAGCAACGGGAGCTCACCCCCGTCACGGGGATTCGAACCGCCAACCTTCTGATCGGCAAGTCTTAGGCTCTGTGGTTTAACCCACAGCGCCACCCGCATCCCTTTCTCCAGGGGTAGTTGACTTCTTACAAGAGTGGAAGGTGCTCAGCGTTCCACTGCCCAACTTCAGAATTTTACAGGAACTCCTGAAGTCTATACTCTGCTGCTGAACTATTTCAGTAGCTATTGCGATAAAAAACATTGATCTCAGAAGCCTAAGAAGGAGGAGGCTAGCTAAGAACAAGATATATTCTCAGCCTCCATTAAAGTTGGTTTGGCACCCTTACTCAACAAGCCTGATCCCCCCCCCAACTGGACTTCTTGCTATAAGGAAAGTGACATGAAAAGGCACTGGAACGTGCGGCAGAACAAATTGCTGGACCCAGTGTCGTATACCCTCCTGGAAAACAAATTGGAGCAAATGTTCAGTACGCAGCCAGTCACTGTCTAACCTCCCCACAAACTTTGCGCAGGCAAAATTGGGAAGCAGTTGAAAGATTTTCCATAAGTACACTCCGTGTCTCTGTTTTCAAATAACAAAATCCTTCACACAGGTCCATTACAGTCAGTTTGAGACGTTTTTGTAGCAATGTGGGGTTGATGAAGGAAGAGAGGTGGGGAAGGAGAAAGGAGAAAACAGAAAGAGAAAATAGGAGGGGTGAAAGCAGAGGGGGTGAGGGACTTCCATTATTTACATAGTGTATGAGTGGAGATTTTTTTGTCCGCGTCGCATGGGTAGGTGTCTTATTTTTGCTGGCAGAGCGAGAGATCAGAGGGCCCAAGTTATGGCTAGTTGCAGTTGACCGGCTGCAGGGTGTTTTGTTTGTGTGTGAGGTTAAGTTAGCCCTATTGATTCATACGTTGTTAGGGCAGGGCAGGGGGTCATTGTCTTGTTGGCCTTTGTATGTGATAAAGAGGAGCCACACAAGGGGGAAGGCCTCCTTCTTTGTTTGATCCCATGATAGATTCAGTCTGCTGATTAGTTTTTCTAGTAGCGCTGTTTCCCATGCAGTTTGGTACCAGTGGTCCATGTTCACTGCCGAAAGGTCCCCCCAGTGTCTGGTAAATATTGACCCATGCATTTCCCCCTGCCCAGGGGTGCCAACTTGAATAAAATACTTGGAGGGCAGACAGGTAAGCTCCACCCCACATAATCTATCACAAAACGTTGTACACATACATTATTTGAATGGCAATGCCCATCAACCGGGGGGCGGAGGCTCAAATATTTTATTGGGTGTGGCTGAAAGTACCTTGGCCCCTAGGAGCTGGCTCCTGTGCTCCCCACCCTTTTACCCTTTCTGGGGGAAATGCCCACATAGTTTTAAAAAACAACAACAACAGCAGCAGCAAGAACACCTTGTTGCCAGGAACCCTGATATTTCCTTGACCTGTTCAAAACATTAAGCCCTTCCCTGGAAACATGCACAATCGCCATTGTTTGCCTGGCTTGAGAGTAAATCCTATGGATTAGTGGGATTTACTTCTGAGTAAGCATGCATAGTGTTGGGCTGCTGGTTTCGCCTGGGACTAAAAGATCAAGCAACCTGTCTGGCCGCCCGGTGGAGCTCAGGGTGTTGCCTGTCACTACCAGATGGCTGCCTACCCTTGATTGGTGTGTTTAGTTAGCAGATTCTTAAAAGCTGAATCATTTTCCAGGCTTCTTGACAATTCTGGACAATGCAGGAGAGGCAGACGGTTGCCTCAAAACATTTGCGGTGCCTCAGGCAGGAAATCTGCATTGTCAAAATATGCGGCTAAACTAAATTACAACTGGCTGCCCTTTACAGATATTCCGTAATGCGCTGCCTGAGGAAGGCTGCCTCAACCTGACTGATTGGTATCTTGTTGAATCTGTCTTGTCTGGTTGTAAGGAGACCGTTGCCTGCCGTTCGTTAGCTGCAAGACAATGCGTTTGGGTTGTCTGGCCAGAGAGGGAGCAAGATGCAAATATTCAAATAGCTCCAGGTATATAGGAACATAAGGTAAAGGTAAAGGTACCCCTGCCTGTACGGGCCAGTCGTGTCTGACTCTGGGGTTGTGCGCCCATCTCACTTAAGAGGCCGGGGGCCAGCGCTGTCCGCAGACACTTCCGGGTCACGTGGCCAGCGTGACAAAGCTGCTCTGGCGAGCCAGCACCAGCGCAGCACACGGAAACGCCATTTACCTTCCCGCTATAAAGCGGTACCTATTTATCTACTTGCACTTAAGAGTGCTTTTGAACTGCTAGGTGGGCAGGAGCTGGGACCGAACGACGGGAGCTCACCCCACCGCGGGGATTCGAACCGCCGACCATACGATCGGCAAGTCCTAGGCGCTGAGGTTTTACCCACAGCGCCACCCGCGTCCCCTTATAGGAACATAGCCAGCTGCATTTTGAGTCAGGCCGTGGACCGTCTACCTCTGTATCACCTACACTGGCTGGCAGCAGTTCTCCAGAGTTTCAGATGAGGAACAAATAATAAGTTAACTCTCGAATGAAACCCCAAGATGGTTCCTGGGCAGATAAAATATAACAGATAGAATTCTGCAGGGTGTGTTGTTAGTGTGTGAAAATGGTCAAGCTCCAAGGAAGCCCAGGCAGGCACCTCTAGATGGTGGAGGTGCCAGGCGTCATCCTGGCACCCGGGCATCTGCACTTGGTCGCACGTGGCTGGTAAAGGTAAAGGGACCTCTGACCATTAGGTCCAGTCGCGGCCGACTCTGGGGTTGTGCGCTCATCTCGCTTTATTGGCCGAGGGAGCCGGCGTACAGCTTCCGGGTCATGTGGCCAGCATGACTAAGCCGCTTCTGGCGAATCAGAGCAGCGCACGGAAACGCCGTTTACCTTCCCGCTGGAGCGGTACCTATTTATCTACTTGCACTTTGATGTGCTTTTGAACTGCTAGGTTGGCAGGAGCAGGGACCGAGCAACGGGAACTCACCCCGTCGCGGGGATTCGAACCACCGACCTTCTGATCGGCAAGTCCTAGGCTCTGTGGTTTAACCCGCAGTACCACCTGCGTCCCAGCGTTCATTTGCTTACTTATTACGTATAGGTGCAAGAAATCCAAGACTGCTCGGCCAGCTCTAAAGGTTGGTTGCTCCTACCGCTAAACAAAACTCATAGCTCCCATACAACATCCTTCACTCTCTGGCAAATGCAGGAAGACAACATTACTGGCACTACCATGGTGCAAGTTGGTAGAGCATGAGACTCTTAATCTCAGGGCTGTGGGTTTGAGCCCTGTGTTGTGCAAGAGAGTCCTGCATTGCAAGGAGTTGGGACTAGAAGACCCTCATAGTACCTTCCGACGCTACAATTCTACGACTCGAAGTCGGAGTGG